GTTTGATTGGATACATTGGAATGTTGCTACCAAATGGGCTAATGGTCAATAGGCAATGGCCCTGAAACAAAACCAAAAAACTCTCAATGACAATCAGAACTGAATTAAATAAACATATTATTAGAGGTGAAAAAGAAAAACGGAGAAAGAAAAAAACCCATGCAGATTGCTTCATTTGGAACTTTGAAATTCTCTGAACAAAGATGCAGTTCTTAAAATCAAGAGAGAATGAACATATTGAATATTGTAGTTTTACTCCATCAGTGAAACAATGCGTGGCAATTCTCCAGAGAATGTTAGCTTGTTTTTACATCTAATGATAAAAATGTGTACTAACTGACGGAGAGAAAAATAAGAGAGATGCGTTCTAACTCATCAAGACCCTTTTTGTTCAGGTTGATATAGAGAGTATTACTGTCAGTAATTCTGTACAAATACAGCCTTTTATTCCACAGCTGCTGTTTAATCTTCATTTTTATCTTCTTGATTTGGTGTTCGGACATTAAAGCTTTGATGGGAGTATAAAATTGTACAGGAACAACTGCTAGAAGCCTGAAGTTTGTATTGCTGCTTGCTTCTAACTTCCACAGCTTTTGTTTGCTGTGATAAGACTGCAAAGAAGTGTAATATTAATTAAGGCAAAAATGTTTAACCAAAAATCAATTTGACCTCTACAGAACTATGGATGACTCCAGACTCCTTAAAATTATGTTAAACTAAAGTATTTTGAGAGGAGGTATTTTGCCTCTTAAAGAGATCAATATAAATTAAGGAAAAAATTATTGAGATCCTTACCTCGCCAATACGATAATATCCTGAAGGACACCCACAGCTAAATCCACTGCTGCCTATCGCATTGCAACCAAATTCACAAGGACTATCGAGGCAGTTTTTACTGAGCTGTAAATACAAAAATATTTGAGAGGTAAAAAAATTGACAGAGATTCTTCACACTGAATACGCATTCAATAAGAATGTCCTTATTGGTGGTGAAACCAGAGAAATGCATTCCTTAGTTTCGGAATAGTAAACTTCCTGTCATGATTATTTTAACATTAAAATAATCCTTTTATAATTCATGAAATTTCTCATCATATTTTTTCACTGCATGAAAAATCATTTAAAAATTTGATATTCAATTAATTGGACTGCATTTTGCAATTTGGAAGTATAAATTCTGGCTCATCTGAAAAAACACTTATGTGCATAGGGAAACTAATGGCACACATGTTGTTTTTAAACCGGGCCAGAATTTATAGTTCCAAATTCCAAAATGCAGTCCAATTCGTTTACCGTGAAAAAATTAAGTAAGAGTAGATATTATGTTTTTTCACAACATCTTAGTTCCTCTCTGAAGAGATATTTGTGGACCTATGTTTGATCTTTAGATCCAACTAACACAAAAAGGGTTCAAAATGAGATAAGCAGGCGGGCTCGGATTACTCTATGGGGCAGAAAGAACAGCTGCCCCCAGCGCCAAATTCCGACTTCAAAGAAGGAGGGGGAACAAGGAAAAAGAAAAGGAAAAATAGAGACCACGGAGTTGCAAAAAACAACAGTATTAAATGAATCGAGACATGCAAAAAGAGCGGAAGTCCAAAAAGTCAATTTTTCAGGAGAAGCAAATAATTTCCTGTAGGACAAACAATTCGAATAAAAAAAAACGAAAAATATTTCCTATTGCGGAAGGCTTGTTCCGATTGTACTAATAAGAATTTAATCTCCTAAAAAGATTTTGAACCTGCTTTTTTGGGAATTTTTTAGTTTTGATTTGGACTTCTGCCCTTTTAACACATGGACCTCCGCCCTTTTTGCAACTGGGGAAAAATTGATACCCCCAGCAAAGTATGTAAATCTGGGCCTGTAAGCAGGTATGCCAAATTATGAAGTGTTAAAATTGAAATGAGCCAATTTCATCGGCTTGATCTCAAAAATTAAATAGAATATCATGCATGGAAAGACATAAACTTACCTGTAAACAGAGTAGAGATCCTTCATCAAATTGGAAGCCAGGTGGACAGTCACACCTATAGCTACCCACTGTGTTGATACATCGGGTTTGATTTCCACAAGGATTTTGAGTGCACTCGTTCTCATCAAGACACTGATTGAGGTATGCATGCTGAATAAATCCCTCTGCACATCCACACTTGTATTTTCCCATTAAGTTCTGAAAAGAGGAGGAATTGAATTCTTAAAATGAGAAAAACTTTCGGAGCGTAGAGGAGGGTGGAAGCACAAAGATTAAGCAGATTGGCTCACGATCAGTGCGAATTATTGTAGATGAGTTGGGCAACATTTGAATAAATTGCTAGGCATCTGGATAAATTCAAAAAAATGTAATTAACTTGGCAAAATTGGGCTAGTTTGGTTGTGGCTGAGCAGAATGGAGAATTTGCATGCAAATGTTTTTATTGCTTCATCTGAAAGTGCATAAAGAGCTGATTTTGCAGTATTTTTTATAATTTTTTTCGGCTATGGGAAATAGTATATAATTAGATTTAAAAGTGAGAAAATGCGCCGCCTAGTGACATCATCTGGCAGCATTCCCCATTTAAACGCATGTATTTTAGCAGATTAGATCATGTCATAATTGTTCAATTTATGAATCAAGGGTATCCTCGAGCTCAGTTCATTTGGTAGTGTCCATTCAAAAACTGAATTAGTCAAATTTCAGGCACCTGCAAATTCTCCATTGGAGAATTGATGCTGCTTATCTATGGGCCTCAACAGTACATGGTAGATTTGTTACAGAAGTAACTTGAACATTGAAAAAGTATAGAGAATCTAATTTATTATACCTGACAACTATTCTGGCACTTATTGTCATCAGAGCATTCATCAATATCTGTACAGTACGTCCCACTAGAATCTAGTTTGTAGCCTAGAGGACATAGGCACCTATAACTTCCAAGGGTATTGATGCAATTCCCAGGTGGAGGACAAATTGCGCTATGGTTTGCGCACTCATCAATATCTGTAAAACAAAAATATTAAATGAATCATGGAAACAAATCATGGACGTTTAAAAAAAAAAAAAAAAAAAAAACCCTGATCTCATGATTTGTAATGCACCTATTCAGACTTCATGATTCAGGTACATATGTACTTACTACATTGTTCGAAGCGGTTTTTAAATTAATTTTAAAAAAGTTTTAAGGACCATGAACTGGGGACAATTGGAAATCCCTGCTACAGTATGGTGAGTTAATCACAGTGAGGCAGGATGACAACGGCCCAGTCTGCTGGAGACATGTTAGTTTTGTTTGCCGTCTAAGAGAGAAAATATTTCAATCTGCTTCATGTGAACAAAAAATTGAGTTTAGAAAACAGTTTGCAGATGTTTAAGCTAGTAGCACTTAATTTGAAAGATTTTTTGGTACGGTAGCTAGTGCTAGGAGATGAAAGAATTGCATAGTTTCATGGAAACTTACATTTATTTACATTAAAAATAGGCCTGAAGCTTTTTGGCTGAACGCCGTCTTCAGGGACAAAAGATTTAAGTTCAAATATCACCAGTAGAGATAACAGTGATGACAAAAGTTTTTCATATTGCATTTATCGAACACTGTTTGAATTGCAAAAAATTGGAGAATTCAGCATATTATTGATTGGCATTTAAGTCCTCTCCTCCTCATTTTATCTTGATCCATTATCATACAGATACAGAAAAGGAGATTAGATAATTTTTATACTAACCAATACAGTGGTCGCCGACTTGTTTGTAGCCAGGTAAGCAAGAGCACTGATAAGATCCATGGGTGTTGGTGCACTTTTGATAGCAAATATGCTCTCCGGTTGCACACTCGTCAATATCAACACAAGTCCTATTGTCATGACTTAGCGTCAATCCAGGTGGGCATGAACAGATGTAGCTTCCAATCGTATTCTCACAACCCATATCGCAAGGGCTAGGACGAGAATCACATTCATTCACGTCTAAAAAAACACAAATACATTAGAATTAGTAACTATCAAAATAGGAAGAGATAAACTGGTAAATAAAAACACGTTCACAAGCATTTACATCTCGACACATTTTTCATTTTTAGAGTTGGTTTTAACAAAAATCGCAACCTCATAATCACTGCGTAAATAAAGACAAAAATCATAGCAATTATTTCAGTGTAATCTGAAGTATATCACGCTTAAAAAACCTGGGAGGGTTTGACTTTTAATTCGAGACTTGCAATAGACTCAGTAAGAATATTTACCTCTACAATGGGTTCCTCCATGATCAGGTCTGAAACCTTTATTACAGATACATCGATATGATCCCAAAGTGTTGATACAACGGCCATTGCGACATAGCTCTGGCATAGTCTGGCACTCATTTATATCTGAAAAAACAAAAAATAAAATGTAAAAGTTGATGAGACACTTGAGAATCCTAAGAATTGATTTTAAACTCTTTAAGTTTACGTATTGATAAATGCAGACTTCAGATGTTGCGAAACGTGTAAATGTTATGATTTAAAAAGTCTGAAGGTGCTTTTTTCACTGTCTTTTGTAACATTAAACTGCATTATAACAGGGTCCATCGAGCATTACAGTTATTATTCTGGTTTCCAAGGGATTGAAAGTTTTCATTTTGGAGGGAAAAACTCATTTGAGCACAATTTTCTCAAAGAGAGAAAAATGTTGTTTGATAAGAAGGGTACGTATAAATCCGTTTCCGGACTAATAGACCCATCATCAGTACAGCACAGTCTCCTGACTTCCTACTTCCAAGCTCAAAGTAGTCCTTAATATGAAACCAAGGTTTGGGACAGCGGCTGCAGTGGCAAGACAACTAACGCCATCTGGTGAACGAATTATTCATACAGCTCAGCTAAAACCCTGGCAAAGCAGCATTACTACCAACAGACTGTGGTTGGACAAAGGATTGGTGATTTTGTCAACATACATCAAAATTTAGTATAAAACTGAAATTCTCCTATTGTTTAGTTTCTAGTTATAGAATGGTTTCAGTTTTATATTATGGTTCAGAGGAGATACCTCACCTAATCCATCGAAAGCATAACCAGATTGCTGAGGGCAAAGTGAATGAAATTCTTCG